TATAGATATTTCTTAATAAAAAGTAAAATTTGTCTAGGTAGTGGGTTAAGTTTTGTTTGTTGTTCTATTTCTTTATTGATAGAGAATTTGATAATTCAATCTAATTCTACAGAGAGTTTATTAGCTACCTTTTTTTCTCTTGTTGTTTTAGTTTATTGAGTTTTTTCTGTATTTTAGATTCTTCTTCTTGTAATTGTTTGTATATGTCTAATGAGATGTATTAAATACTTTTAAATAAGTTTGATCTTTTATATATTCATCTATTTTAATTTTTACAGTTTGTTGTTATTCATACTGCTTAAATTGTTGTTGTTGTTGCTTGTTAGATTGCTCTTGATATAGTTATTGTTCTTCTGCTTTTGCTTTTTCTTTTTTTTCTTGGTTTAATTGTTGAAGACATTCCAAGTGGTATACTTTATTGCTAAAAAAAAGCAGCTTTCTTGAAGTTGGTGATAGTTGTTAATATATTTACAGTTGATCACAGTTTAGTATTTGGGGCATGTGTAGATATAGGTTTTAGAAGCAAAAAAAGTTGAAATAGTTGTTGATATTAAAGCGATAGCTTCATTTATTTGTTCTGTATTTTGTTTCTTGTTTTCTTGCTAACAACAGAAGCTAGGAATTTAGAGATATGAATAATGCTACTTGAAAAGTGAAATTGTATATAGAAATTGCTACAAAGATACTTGACTATTGTGGTTGAGCATGATGCTTTGAAGAAGTGAGTTTTTCTGACTTGTCTGGTACTTACTGTAATACAACTTGATAGTTCGAATTGAGAAGAGATTGTTCTAACATTATTTGGTTCATCTTTATAAATAGTAACTCTAAAAGTATTTGAATGATTTGTATATAAGATATCAAGATCAAGTATATCAAGATCTTAAAAAATTGGAGTAGTTATGTTGATATATTTTTTTCTTTAAGGACACTAGTTTGATTGTCTTAGTAAAATTTTGCAATCTAATACTTTAAAAAGTTTTGGGTAGTATATTAAGTAGAATTAGATAAAGATAGGTACTGCAGAGGTCTTTTGTATAACTACTGTGGCTGGTGTAGCTTGTGTAATCTTGTATAACCTTGTATAATCTAAATTAATTTAGATGATACAAGAGTATAGCTGGTGTGGCTAGTGTGGCTAGTATAACAGAAAAGTTAAATATAATACTAAGCAATGTATGTAAGTACAAAAGTTTATAAAAATAGTAGTTAATAAAAATAGATTTGTATTATTAATTGGATTACTATTTTAGATAACTTGATTGATACAATTAAAAATTTAATTAATTCTAAGTTTGAAAGTGATTTTCTGTTATACAAAAATGAGTTGAAAAAAAAGTTGGAAGTAAAGATAAAGGAATTTTTTAGAAATTTTTAAAGAGGAGTGAAAGAAGTTTTTGCTAATATTTTAGTTAATATTAGGCTAAAATTTTCTGTTAAGGGCTTATTTTGACCAGATAGATAAGCTTAATAACTTATCTTAGTACCACCAGATAGGTTGTAAAGGTAGTTTTGAAGAAATAATTAAAAGTTTGAATTTTAAAACCAAAAATAGTTTTTGTAGTATTATGCTACAAGTTTTTAAGATAAAGACTTGAAACTTCTAGACTATATATAAAATTAAGAGCTAAGCAAGTTTATTTAGTATATTAAAAGCAACTACCTTAATAAAATATTGTGTTATTAAAGATTTATATAGACAAATTTTTAGTTAAATTTTGTGTAAGTGATTGACAAAAAGAGTTTTTTTAATTATATTTTGTATTCAACACAATTATAGATTGTATTTGATACAAAATATAATTAAAAGCCTGATAACAAGTTTTCTTTTGGCAGTACTTATAATATTATTAATAACTTACTATCACCATTATATAAAATAAAATAATCTTCAAAAGAACAATTGATTATATTTAGCTTTAAACTTCTTGAAATAAATTATTTAATAAAATTTTTTCATCATGCTTTTCTGTTGCTATATGTTTTATTTTACAAGAAGCTTTATTTATTGCTACAGAAATACTTATTTCATTATTTTCTTTACTTTTATTACTTTTGTTATTTTGATCTTGTTCTTCATTATTTATAAAGTTAATTATTTGATTATTTGAATAAGTTAAAATCTCTTCTTCATAAATACTAATAAATATTTGTGAATTAGGACTAAAAGAATCATCTATATGCTATATAATATTAAAAAATTTAGCAAATTCGCAGGCTAGTCAATATGAATATTTAATTGTTTAAAAAATTTGTTCATTAGTTGATTATAGTTTTAATATTTCTAATGTTGATTCACTTAAATTTTCACAAATTATAATCAAAATAGTAATTTAATAAATAAATTTAATATTAAAAATAGTTATAATTAATATATTATATTGATAAAAAATAATATTTATCTTGGATAGTTTTTTTTTACCCAAAAGAAGCTATCCTATAAATGATAATCTTGCTACATAGTAAAGTCAAGATTTTACCAAGTAAATCGATCTATATTATTAAGTAAAAGTTGTTTATAAGATAAAAATGCATATATTCTGAAAATTTTATATAAATTGGAGAATATTTTATTAATTGACTTTTGCATATTACTTTTAACGAAAAATTTAAAAATTTCTTTAAAATTTATATTTATTGAGCGTAAAAATCAAAATTCAATTAATAAAATATTTTCCAATTTATATGAAATTTTCAAAATATATACATTTTGATCTCCTGAACAACTTTTGCTTAATAAGGTAGGCCAATTTACTTAGTAAATTTTTCGTAAATGATGAAAAACTGCTTTTACCTGATAATAAGCTACTTGTAATATTTTCATTAATTTTTCTAAAAAACAAGGTAGCATATTTTTGGCAATATACGGTAAATGTTAATCACTAATCATTAATTGCTAATCATTAATTGCTAAGTGTAATATATGTCTGTTAAATTCTACTCTAATAATAATAACTAAATAATAATGATAATAAAATAATAACTAATAATTATACAATATTGAAATAATAAACTAATAAAAATAATAAACTGTTCTATAATATAATGATATTTCAAGAATAATCAATAAGATTAAAGAATAAAATAAAATTGCAAAAAGTGTTTGTGCATATCTTTTACAGGTAATTAATGATTATGAATTAATATATATAAATATATTTATATATTTATTACTATATAATTTATATGGTATTACTAAATCACACTACTGGTATTCAATACTATAAAGTTTTTGCTATGAGCTGCGGTATAACATGAAGATCAGGGTAAAAAAATTTTGTTTATTATTTTAAAAAAATAGCTATAACTCAAAAGGTTATCTATGAAACCTTTATTTAGGATTTAATTAAAAAAATTTCTTGCAAAATTTTAGTATAGGCTATATCTTTGCCCTATCCCAGGCTTCAATACTAACTCTAATATTAAAGAAATTTTAATTTTTATACTATTTATAATTACTGGTGCTAAACACCA